GAACAGCAGGACAAGAGAGTGACCTCATTGTTCAAGCAGTTACATGCCCTCTTGGAAAATGAGGAATTATTACTGCCTCTGCCCAAGTTTTGATATGGTGCTAGGCAAGTTGCTTAAGCCCATCTCTTCATAGGTGGTGGTTGACCTCTGGTTTGTGTTTTCTGAGTGTCCCATTAGGAAGTGTCCGTCAGGCTGTGGTCTGGTTTGTGAAGTGCTGAGCATTGCAGCTAAAGACTGTGGGAGGTTGTGCCTTTAGCATATACAGAAAATTAATTGAAAGTGTCTTCATCTTGGCTTTCAAAATCAGTGAATGATTGGTCTGGATCTTTTTTAATTTTGTCTGTGGGATTGTTTTATACCCTTTCATTTCATAATATGTTCAGATAACTCCTTGTCTGTGAAGTACTGAGATACATAGCAGGAGCATTACAGGAAAGGTTTATGAGGAAAGAAATTATCTTTATAAGGAGATTTGAGCAGTGTGGCAAGTCAGCTGTGACCATACATTCTTCAGTGAAAAGAAAACAAAGTACTGTGTGACTGTTCCTTAAGTGAGTAGAGTCCATCCTGTCATAACAAACAAACAAGGCTCCTTTCGAGCTGATAATTTGGCTGTCTCAACGCATACACCAGTGGAATGAGTTAAGTCTGTCTTCATGAACCTAGTCCTGACAACAGTCCTTAAGAACTTGATTTTACGCCTTAATTGCTTACTGTGTGTAGGAATTGTTCATCTGTGGAAGGAAACAGAAAAGGAAACTCCGTAGTGTCCGACTAGACTGGCTTTGCCTCAGCTGCTGCGTCTGAGCGCTTCTGCTCCTGGGTACGGGGTGCTGAGGGAAGCTGTCCGAACGGGATACCTTCCAGGAGTGGCTCTAGGGAATGGGGTGGGGGCGAGATCCACCCTCTGCCAGTGGCGGCTGTACAGATAACCACTGACTACAGACAGGGATTTCCAGGAACTTTGGGTCCTGATCCTAGAGGCGTGTTCTGCTGGCACAGCCCTGCTTCCGACCTGCACTTCTTAGTGGTTTCCTACCTGTCTGCTTGGTGCTCACCACCTTTTCTCACTGGTTGTGGTTCTTTTGGCCAGTCAGTGACATCTTTTCTTCATACCATATCATCTCTTAGACAGTTTTGCTGTTTGCCCGTTAGAGATTTCATGCATTCCTCATGTGACAGCAGCTTTTTTTTTTCTTGTCTGAGCTAGAAGTCTCACTTAAAGATATGCAGGGGGCTCGGCTCCGCTTTCCCTCATTCATCTTTGTACAGCAGAAAGTCGTGCTCCTACCTTGCCTTCGTTATCGGTCATTAAAAGATTGCTTTCTCTTTTTGATGCTGAAGTCTTCTGTTTTATGGGGTGTTCAATACATCTGCTGCACTTAACAGTGTCATTAGTAAGTAGATCTGAGAAACTTCTGTATGTAGTAGAGTTGCTCACATGTTGAGCAGCTGCTTGTTATGCAGTGATGTATAAGCTGTTGCTGACAATAAGCTTTGAAAACAGTTTATTATCCTGTGGCCTTAAATTCTTTCATGCTTCCTCTTTGGATGATAGGCAGAGGGCAGAGTATAGAGCACAATCTTGTGTGAAGCTGGACAAAGGAGTCAGAATGTTTTAGCTGCTGAAAGCTTTCATTTGTCATTCATGGATTTATTTTTCTCTTTCTTTATAATCAGGTTGGTGTTCTTCCAGCTGATGCAGATTGTGTTTCTCAACAGCTGCCACCTTTCTCTAGAGGATGCTTAATTGTTAAAGTACAGCAGAGAGATTTCTGGATCTGTATTTAACAACTTGAAGATGTTGCTTAGTTGAAATGTGCTGTGTGCTCCTATATTAGGTCAGGCTTAGATTTGAGTTGACTGTTACTGGTCTTTTAAGGCAGTGACAGATAGCGGAGCAGAGCAGACTCCAGAGAGTATCCTCCATGCTTGACAGTGCTTGACCAGGGAATCAAGGCATTGCTCCTTCATGGCAGGAGGTTGTCTACAACTGTTGGGTTTTCAGCTGTGCTGATGTTTCCTTCTGTGTTTTTCCCTCAGGACCCCTATGGTGTGGCAGTAGGAGGAACAGTGGGGCATTGCCTGTGCACTGGTTTAGCTGTTATTGGAGGGAGAATGATAGCACAAAAAATTTCTGTTAGGACTGGTAAGTGAAAACTCACTCCAACCGAAAAAATGCGGTAATGCTGGTCACGTGTAAATGACTCCATGCCTGGGAACAGCGTTTCTCAAAGTTTTTGGCAAACTCGAAACCGTTTTTTTTCGTTTTTTTTTTTTTTTTCTTTTTTTTCAGTCTGTGTCTTCCATCCCACCCTGCCCTGTAGTCAGCTCCCCTCGTGGGGGTGACCCTGTGCTGTTCCCAGGGCCGGGGATCCTTTCTGGCAGGCAGAGTCAAGCCTGTGCCACCGCCCTGCACGGGGTGCTGCCGAGGGGTCCGGCCTGAAGTGAGCGTAACTGCTTACTGACTCCGATGTAAGGAATCAAAATGGGGTTTGTAGCTCCAGGTTTAATGGAGGGCGCAGGTGAAGGCTTGTAGGAGGCTGGAGGAAGAATATACGGTATTTTGAGTAGTCGGTCTCTATTGTTTGACAGTGGAGAATAGAAATTCTGTCGCAATTCTGAGCGCAGGCCTTCAGGTGAGCAGGAGAACTGCATACTTAGAAGTAATGCCGGCCATATAAAAACTACTCTGTCTGTGGCATAAAAGCTTTTTTATCATACTTGCTATCTGTAACAGGAAGGACCAGTAAGGTTACACTGGGTTGTTTGTTTTTCCTTAGATTAGGTTGCAGCTTGCTTCAGCTGCCAGTCCTGTGCTGTAAGTGAGATTTCTTGCTCCCAGGAAGGGTTCCGTGAAGCTGCTTCCTGTAAATGTTCGTTCAGAGTATTTGTCCTGTAGTTGCAGAGGCTGTGAGAAAACAGCTTCGTTGCAAAAAGTGAAACATGTATTCTGTTGTGTGTGTATGCCAAGGAAATACGAACCTAACAATGATTTAATGCGCTCCTAACAAGCTTGGTGTGGATCTTTGGCCATGGGAGTAGCCTCACTGGGTTAGGCCGAAGGTGCACGAAGCCTGTTTGTTTCTTTAGAGAAGAGTAGAACACACACAGCGGTGTTTTCCTGGAGTGCTGTCCCAGCTTCTAGCAGACTGTGGCCCCTGCAAGCAGTTAATGTTTTTGCTACTGTATCTTTCAATGTAGTTATACCTAAACTGTGCCAAAAGTGCTAATCAATTCGTCACTCTTAACTGGTGGCTTGCTCCAGTTTTCCCCCATACAGCCAAATACTCAACAGCAGGTGTCAGCTTCAGTTTTATACTAGCTTAAAGTAGTAGGAGTAAAACAAAGCTTCCTTCTAAGGACCACAATATATTCTTGTAGATGCAGTTAAACAGTGGGGTGGCCAATAGGCATCCTGGCGCTGCGCTTGAAACAACATGTACTGTTTGCATCATAAATTTAAAGTAAGGTTATTTGGGAATCGGGCATTCTAAAAAGAAATAAAATCTGTAATGTGTCGTGGAAAGATGTGTAACTTTCGGATTCTAATTTCTTTTTGGTTTGTGTTTTATTTACAGTGACAATCATAGGAGGCATTGTCTTTTTAGCATTTGCATTTTCTGCACTATTTATAAGTCCAGACTCTGGTTTTTAAAAGCTTTTGTCACTGCAGAAGAGCAAGGATTGGAGGCACCGAGCAGCTGTCCTTGTGCGGTTGTGTATATAGTGTACAGAATTCTCGTTGAACAAGCACTGGAGATGAGACACTGAACTTTTTATAGCCAATGATTCATGGGACTGACACAGTTATGGACAGCTTCTGCAGTGGAGATCTGCCTATCGTCTGGTGTGTTTGTTCTGTGGTGCCTGCTCCCGTGGTGGGACTTGCGTGGATTTCTGGCTTGCTGGACCTGGCTCAGCTGAGTTTTGAGGATCTGCTCTCCTAAGTGTTGAGGCTTCCTCTTTTCTTCCTCTGTTACACATGGTCCCCTTTCCTGCGTCTTCAAGAGCTGATTCTTAAGGGTTCTCGAAGCAGACTGTCTTGTTCCATGCTGCTTAACAGAAGGTGTTAAGGAGAAAACTGCTGGTTCCCTCCTCCAAGGACTCCGGTTCCAGGGCGCCTGGGTAATCTAGGCAACAAGAAACCTGGGAGCAGTTCCCATGCCGTGGAGTGGCTGAGCCACCGATGGAGAATTTTATAAACTTAAGTGAGAAGGAAAACTTCTTAATCAGGGATTTTTATCAGGAAATTGATGTGTGGTGATTAACAACCTACCATGGTCAATATGCAATCTGTATGGAGCTACTATTATTTGACTTTTTTTTTTTTGGATTTTGAAATATTAAAGTATATGGAAAGTAATAAAGTGGTCCAATTTAACAATATTCCATTCCCAGGACTGAACAATAATGGAATTCTTAGATTTAGATGTGTTCATGTTTTTCTTTTTAGGGAATAGAAATGTAATCTGGAAGAGTATTAATAAAATACGGTGTCTCCATTTGAGTTACTTACGGTATTGTTTTTGATGGTTCCCATAATTCCTGCCAGAAAGGTTTGCCTAGTGCTGATGGACTTAAGGTGAGGGAAGTTTACTAAATTTACTTTGGATACTGATGAATGCCAGTGTTATAAAGACTTTGAAAATGTTGACCCCTGAGGATATGTGGGTTGCAGAAATACATGCTTTTCCCTGCTCTTCAGTGATTTGGATTCTGAGGTAATGGCTTAAATAACCTGCTAAGATCTACTCGGTAGCAGGCTTGTCAAACAGAAAATAACCGTTTCTGGTGCTATGAATCTGCCCCTTATCGAAGCTGAAGTAATACGGAGCGTTATGAATTGGACCATTCCCTTTGTAGTTCACCAACAGAGCAGTCCCTAATCCTTCCCTTAGGTTTCTCTGCCCAGAAAACCCCTGAATGCCACATCTCAAACACTAAGACCATGGCAGCGCGGTGCCTGTCATGCACAGTGGTATGAAAACAGGCTACAGGTTCAGGCTGCAGGTCTAAATGTTCGTGTCTTGGCCTGAAGGAAGGGTGTCGTTGGCAGTGCCATCAGTAGTTACTGGGTGAGGCACTGGGGTGGTGTGGGGTGGTGTTTGGTTTTTATGGTTTGGTGGTTTTGTTTTTTTTTTTTCTTTTGAACCAAACATCGTAGCCAAAACCTGCAGTCTCCTCTTCCCCACAGCCTGGAAGCACACACAGTGTCCCCGGTGTGTTTCAGCTCCTGCGTGGAGGGAATTTGCAGCAGAGGCCATGTTAAAATCAGGCAGGAACAGGGAACCCAAATTAGGGAAGAGCCTAAACTTTTGACTGTTTACTGGACAACTGCTTGTTGTGGTAATTGACAGTGGTGCTGCTGGAATACATTACGTTCATACTAACTGTGGTTCATCCAAAAAAAATTCTTGCTCAAAATCCAAAAAGCCAAACCAATTGGCTGTATTCTAATGTAGAAAGAAGCCTTCCAAACTTTGCATGTGCTGCTTAAAGCTGTTTGATATGAAAACAAGTAGGATCAACAGAAAAATGAAGCTATTTAGTGTGTTGTTTGTAGAGGTAAGCGTGAAGTTGCAGAACAAATCTCTGCGACTTCCACATTTACATTTCATTATTATAAACCTACCCCTGACGGTAAGCACTGCTTCTGGCCAGTCACAGCCATGCTTGGCTGCTCTCTAATGCTTGCTGGGCAGGTAGGAGTCAGTCTGAATAGCGGTTTGGGTTTTTTAAAGCACAAACATTGACTTATCCTGGGAATCACAGAGTGGTTGGGGCTGGAAGAGACCTTAAAGATCACCCAGTTCCAACCCCCTGGCCACTGGCGGGGACACCTCCCACCAGACCAGGTTGCTCAAAGTCCCATCCAACCCGGCCTTGAACACTGCCAGGGAGGGGGCAGCCATGGCTTCTCTGGGCAACCTGTTCCAGTGCCTCACCACCCTCACAGTAAAGAACTTCTTCCTAATATCTAATCTAAATCTGCCCTCTTTTAGTTTAAAGCCATTACCTATGTCCTATCACTACATGCCCTTGTAAAAAGTCCCTCCCCACCTTTCCTGTAGGCCCCATTCAGGTACTGGAAAGCTGCTAGAAGATCTCCCTGGAGCCTTCTCCAGGCTGAACAACCCCAACTCTCTCAGCCTGTCCTCACAGGGGAGGTGCTCCAGCCCTCTGATCATCTTCATGGCCCTCCTCTGGACCCACTTGAGCAGGTCAAGGTCTGTCTTACGCTGGGGCCCCTGAGCTGGATGCAGTTACTGCAGGTGGGGTCTCACCAGCGTGGAGGGAGAGAATCCCCTCCCTCGACCTGCTGGCCACACTTCTCTTGATGCAGCCCAGGATGCGAGTGACTTTCTGAGCTGCAAGCGCACACACTGCTGGCTCGTATTCAGTTTTTCATCCACCAGCACCCCCAGGTCCTTCTCCCCAGGGCTGCTCTCAGTCCACTCACCCCCAGCCTGTGTCTGTGCTTGGGATTGCCCCGACCCAGGTGCACGACCTTGCACTTGGCCTTGTTGCACTTCATGAGGGTCACGCTGGCCCACCTCCCCAGCCTGTCCAGGTCCCTCTGGATGGCCTCCCTTCCCTCCAGTGTGTCAACTGCACACAGCTTGGTGTCATCGGTAAACTTGCTGAGGGTGCACTCGATCCCACTGTCTATATCATTGATGAAGATATTAAACAGCACTGGTCCCAACACCGACCCCTGAGGAATGCCACTCGTCACTGGTCTGCACTCGGACATTGAGCTGTTGACCATGACTCTTTCAGTGTTACCATCCAGCCAATCCCTGATCCACCAAATCGTTCATCCATCAAATCCATGTCTGTCCAATTTAGAGACAAGGATGTTGTGCGGGACAGTGTCAACTGCTTTGCGCAAGTTCAGGAAGATGGTGTCAATTGCTTTTCCCTTATCCACCAACGCTGTAACCCTGCTGTAGAAGGCCACCAAATTTGTCAGGCATGATTTGCCCTTAGTGAAGCCATGTTGGCTGTCACCAATCACCTCCTTATTTTCCATGTGCCCTAGCATGGTTTCCAGGATCTGCTCCATAATCTTGGGCACAGAGGTGACACCAACTGACCCATCATTCCCTAGGTCTTCCTTTTTTCCCCTTTAAAACATGGCAGTTGTGTTTCATTTTTCGTTTTTATCTGTTATAAAATCAGATAGCTCATTAAATTTTAGCAAAAGCTTTGAAAGGTGTTTTAGTAGCTGCTGTGATTTAATGTTGTCAAGTGCCTGTTGGAATTTTTCACAATTTAAAGAATCTAGTTGGGATGTAACCGAAGCCCGTTGAAGGTGATGGAGGACTCCACTGATGTATTTTTAGCAGCAGGGTGTCTGCTGCACTGTCTCTAGCACAAACAGTGTCCTTCCAGCGTCTCAAAGCTCTCGCACCCTGGCCATCTCGCTTGCCAGTTGCCTGGTTCAGGGCTTGGGATTTTAGCAACTTTCATCATGCTTCTCGGATTTCTACCACATTGCCATCGGAGAGGTGTGCGGCACTGTTCTGTCTTGAAATACCTGGATACCTGAGATGTAGGTAATAACATCATAAGGAGTGTGCGTGCGTGCGTGCATGTGTGTGTGTGTGTTATGTGTGTGCTGAAAGGGGTGTGGGGGTGTGTGGGTATGGGTGTGTTGGTGCTCGAGGTGCCGATGCACGTGAGCAAGAAGTCATCCCCTGCCCCTCCTTTCCCCACCCTGTGCCCAAAGTGAAAGTTACTGATGTCTTAGTAAAAGAAACTTGTCTCTCCACTTCTCCTTCTCCCAAGAGATGAAGTGGGAACCATGGGACGTGTTGATCTGATGGAACGAGCTGTGCGGTTCAGTGGGCTCCTGTGTGGCACCTTCACCTAACTTCTTCGAGATCCTCCGTGGGCTGAAATGCGTTTAACAGCGGAGCTGGGTCTATGGGAAGGGAATATTTTGTCTTTTCAGCAGCTAGCTGTAGCACCGGCTTCCTCTCTTCCGAGGACGTTATTTCCCAGCTAGCAGGAGCATTAAGCGTTAAAGCACCAAGGCTGAGCAGAAGCACCTAGTGCATGATGAGATGGGGGGGGTGGGGGGGCAGGGGAGATGCGGTGTTTATAGGGATGCTCCAGCTGTGAAACCATAGCCAACACTTGGGGAGGGCAGTTAAGTGCTTTTGGCTGCAGCAGCTTGTTCCTGTGGAAGAAACGCAGCTGGCAGCTGCAGGTCAGCCCGGCAGGGGTAGTGTTTGAGCTGCCCTCGGGTAGGTTGGAGGAGCCATTTGCTGGGCTGGGAATTGCAAGACCGCAAGGTTCAAGATGACAGAGCAGGCTTGAAGATGTTACTGGTGGGGCAACATGTCCCACGCGGCTTTATCAATGCTCCTGTTCTGAGGCGTTACGCATAGCCACTTCCTAGATGGTGGTACCTCTGGGGAAGGAGCTAGTTGGTATATTAGCCAGCCAAAGCCTTGCTCCTCAGGAAGAAAAGACAGAAGAAGTTTAAATAAGAGTGCGCTTTCCCTTTTAAATGGAAGCAACTAACTTTGGGAGTTGCCTTGCGTTTTAGAATATCAAAGAAACACTTCAGGTAATTAGCTGAAGTTGCAATGGCCACAGTCCTATGCAACTTCTTGTTCTTTTGTAGCTGGAGAATGTGAAATGCAGGGACTGAGCCTTTAAGTGCTGAAGGGCAGGCTCTGCAACGTCTTGCATCTGCAGCATGGGAAACAGGCAACTGTCCACCACAGGTTTCCCTTCTGTCCTGCAGTTCTCCCTGCTGGGGTGAGACACAGCCGATTTCAGTCACTGCCAAAGGAACCTCTAAAGCAGGAATTTGCCTCCCTGACTGCATGTGCACACAGGGGCGGTTTAAAAGTGCGCCCTGCCTGCGCTGCCTGCAACTGATCCTTTCCAGGCAACAGAAACAAAATGGAGATGATGGTCAGTTCTTCTGGGATGAAAAAATCTCACAACAACAGAGATAAATGAGAAAAGCTTGTGCTTGTTACTTTTGCAGATGCCTGTTCCCGATCCTTAGGTAGAGCCTGT